GGGGGGCCCGAGGGGGTTTGGGGTGGTGAAGGGTCCCGGGGAGCCCCGGGGGGGGTTCGGGGGTCGGTTTGGGGGGTTCGGGGATGGCAGAGGGTCCTGGGGAGCCCCGGGGGGGTTCAGGGGTCAGTTTCGGGGTGCCCTGGGCGGTTCGGGGAAGGATCCTGGGGAGCCCCGGGGGGGTTCGGGGGTCGGTTTGGGGGCGTCGGGGGGTCTGATTTGGGGGGCCCGAGGGGGTTTGGGGTGGCGGAGGGTCCCGGGGAGCCCCGGGAGGGTTCGGGGGTCGGTTTGGGGGTGCCCTGGGCGGTTCGGGGGAGGGTCCCGGGGGTCTCCGGGGTGGTGGCGGCGGCCGGGGGGGCCCGGGGTGCTGATGTGGGGGTGCCGCAGGTGGAGTCGAAGGTGACGCTGGCGCTCGGTGGCATCGCCGTGGTGCTGGGGGCCGTGCTGGCCTCCATGGGGCTGCTGTCGCTGCTGGGGCTGCCCTCGTCCCTCATCATCCTCGAGGTCGTGCCCTTCCTCGTGCTGGCCGTGGGCGCCGACAACATCTTCATCTTCGTGCAGGAGCTGCAGGTGCGGCGGACAGCGCGCTTAGGGGGCGCGGGGGGCTCGGGGGTGTCCTCGGGGCTTGGGGACACCTCTGGGGACAGGGACCCCCGTGGGGGGAGGCGGGCAGCTGTGGGCATGGGGGTCTTTGGGGTCGGGGGTCCTCGTGGGGCACGGGAGCTTGGGGACCCTTTGGGGACACCTCTGGGGACAGGAATCCCCATGGTGGGGGGACACCTGAGGGCAGCGGGGATCCCTGTGGGGCAGGAGGGGACACTCAGGGCTTGGGGACACTTTGAGGACAGGTGTCCCCATGGGGAATGTGTCCCTAGGGGGGCTCCCCGTGGGGCAGGTGGGCACCCTCGCGTGGGCGGGGGTGCCCGCGGGGCACTGGGCAGGGGTTCCCGGGGATGTCCCTGGGAGGGGGGGTGTCCCCCGGGGCTGGGGGGTGCCCGTGGGTGTCCCCCGGGGCTGGGAGTGTCCCCGAGCTGGGAGTGACCCCGGGAGTTGGGGGTGTCCCCCGGAGCTGGGGGTGACCCCCGGGGCTGGGGGTGTCCCCTGGAGTTGGGGGTGTCCCCGGGGCTGGGGGTGTCCCCGGGAGTTGGGGGTGTCCCCGGAGCTGGGGTGCCCGTGGGTGTCCCCGGAGCTGGGGGTGACCCCCGGAGCTGGGGGTGTCCCCGGGAGTTGGGGGTGTCCCCGGGCTGGGGTGCCCGTGGGTGTTCGCCGGATCTGGGGTGTCCCCGGGCTGGGGGTGTTCCCCGGGAGTTGGGGGTGTCCCCGGGAGTTGGGGGTGTCCCCGGAGCTGGGGGTGTCCCCCGGAGCTGAGGGTGTCCCCGGGAGCTGGGGTGCCCGTGGGTGTTCCCCGGATCTGGGGTGACCCCGGGCTGGGGGTGTTCCCCGGGAGGTGGGGGTGTCCCAGGGGCTGGGGGTGTCCCCGAATCTGGGGTGTTCCCCGGGAGGTGGGGGTGTTCCCCGGGAGGTGGGGGTGTCCCAGGGTGACCCCGGGCTGGCCCTGTCCCCCCCCGGGCAGCAGCAGTCGCAGCGGGAGCCGGGCGAGACGCGGGAGCAGCAGCTGGGGCGGGTGCTGGCACAGGTGGCCCCCAGCATGCTGCTCTGCAGCCTCTCCGAGAGCGTCTGCTTCCTCCTCGGTGCGTGCGGGGACACCGGGACACCGGGACACCGGGACACCGGGACACCGGGGACAGCGGGGGGAGCGGGGACATCGGGGACACCGGGGACATCGGGGGGACCGGGGACATCGGGGACATCGGGGGACATCGGGGACACCGGGGGGAGCGGGGACATCGGGGGTCCCGGTGACCCGGGGGGTGCCGGGGGGTCTCCGGTGGGTGGCCCGGGGCTGACAGGGGGGTGACCCGGTGGGTGACCCGGGGATGGCAGAGGGTGACCCGGGGGGTTTCCGCGGGTGTCCGGTGACCTGGGGTTAGGGTTAGGGGGGTTTCCGCGGCTGACCCGGGGGGTGACCCGGGGGTCCCGCAGGTGCCCTCTCGTCCATGCCCGCCGTGCGGACCTTCGCCCTGACGGCCGCGCTCGCCATCGCCTTCGATTTCCTGCTGCAGATGTCGGGGTTCGTGGCGCTGGTGGCGCTGGACATGCGGCGACAGGAGGTGACACCGGGGGACACCGCGGGGCCGGGGAGGGGGGCGCGGGCTGGGCACGGGGTGGGTGTGGGGACCCCAGGGTGGTGTGGGGACCCCCAGGGTGGGTGTGAGGACCCCGGGGGGGTGTCTGGACCCCCAGGTGGGTGTGGGGACCCCCACGGGGGTGTCTGGACCCCCAGGTGGATGTGGGGACCCCCAGATGCGTTTCAGAACCCCCAGGGGGGTGTGGGGATCCCCAGGGGGGTGTCAGGACCCCAGATGCGTTTCAGGACCCCCAGGTGGGTGTGGGGACCCCCAAGGTGGATGTCAGGACCCCCAGATGGGTTTCAGGACCCCCAGGGGGGTGTGGGGACCCTAGGGTGGGTTTCAGGACCCCCAGGGTGGGTGTCAGGACCCCCAGGCTGTGCCCGGGGGGGGGCAGGGGTCCCCCGTGGGGTCAGTGCCAGCCCCCCCTGTGCCCCCAGGCCGGGCGCTTTGACCTCTGCTGCTGCTGCGGGACGGGCAAGGGGGGCCCGCCCGGGGAGGGGGCGCGGCTGCTGCGCCCCCTCCTCCAGCGCTACTACACCCCCACACTGCTGCACCCCATCGTGCGGCCCGCCGTGGTGAGGGGACACCGGGGACACCGGGGACACCGGGGACACGGGGGGGCATTGGGGGGCACGGGGGGCATTTGGGGC